GAGTTTCCACTTAACTACACATTTGCTAACATTTAACATTCTTAAATCTTTAAAATATTCAGTCATTTTGTAAGTAATCCTCAAAGCCTTTGATGAAAAATTTCAATTGGCATTGAAATTTGAGGAAGTAAATGGATTTCTAAAATGTCTTACATAAGTATCTAATAGCCTGGTAAACAATGCAGAAGAATTTTGATTAATTATTCTGTTGTAAACGAAGCATTCTAAAAAACTATAAAGCATTCTAAAAAACTATAAAGCATTCTAAAAAACAAATATGTAAATTAGAACTATGAACAAAAACAATCTCTTAAGTATTTTACTTAGGCATAATGGGAAATGAAATTAAATAAAATATTGCCCAATCAGATAGTCAAAGACATTCACTGGACATTTTAAAATAAATATTGAACAACATTTTAAGTTCCATTTCTTAACTGTCAATCTTCTTGTTTAATTATGATATAATTGCGTCCTTCACAAATATTATAAAACTGGATTTTTTTCCTACAATTAAAAGAATTTTTTAATAGGAGTGTTAATTCATTCACATTATGATCCCTGGTATAGGTAGATTTATTTCTACCACCTTTTTATTGTTTTATTTACCATGATTAGTAAATCTTTTTTTCTTTTTTTCTCTTTTCCTGCCCATAAAATTTTTATTTTGAATTTATGCATTCAACTTTTATGTGTGTAGTCAGTGTTAACTGGAACATTTGAATTAGTAAAATCTAATGCAAAATATATTACTATTCTTTTCCTGAATAATATAGAGAAATTGGAAAATTTTAACTTAGTTCACACCTTCCCATATTCCATGTTAATGCTGTCAACAATTTAGTTCCATCTTATTGCCAACTGCCCCTCAGTTGGTCTCTCTCTTTTTTGAAGAAGCAATTCTTATTTTACATTTCTAGTAGTCTATTCAGTGAGGGTTTGAGAATAGTAAATTCTCTCTATACTGATTGTCTGAAAATCATCTTAATTTTGCTCTCTTAAGTAATGAATGTTGGATTTTCTTATTCTATCCTCCATGAGTTTTAACCTCCCTTTTACATAATCACTCACTTTATCTTTTTTCCCTGTATTTGGGAAAGTTTCATGATCTCTATGTTCCAGTTCACTAATTTTCTTTTCAGCTTTGTCTGATCAAATTTTTAATCTTCCTTTGAGTTTTAAGTTTTGGTCATCATACTTGCATTTTTAGACATTCCATTTGATTTTTTTCCCAAATCTGTCTGTCTTCTTAATAATATTTTGTTCTTTAATTTGTGCCTTATTTCTTTTAAAAATAGTTTGTCTTTTTACTTTTACTTTCTTTATGGTCTCACTCACATTGCTGTATGAGTCCATTATTTGAATACTAACTCATTTATTACGGTGCCAACTCTCCCTTATAGTGCACTACTCCCTTGGGAGATTGGACACTTTATACTGTAAGCTCATTTTCAGGAGTGGGCTATTTTTGTCATAGAGCATTTACATTGTGGAAGGGACCCTAGAGTGGATTGCTGTTTGCTGTACTGATGCCCCAGAAGTTTTACTGATTATGTTACTTACACATCTTTTGTTTTTTGCTTCCTGCACTGTTTCTTAGATTCCACACTGGAGCTGGGTGTAGAATTGTGGTTTTATTTAAATGAAGACTTCATTTTCCTTTTTTTTTATCATGAATTTTTCTGTGGCTTACTGGGCCAGTGGGTGAAAATGTTCTACTTGTTTCTCATAGTGGGGCAGTTGTTTCTTATTTATGAATCCCAGCTTTATTCAGGGTTCTTGCTTCCAAGTCTCACCCTCAGACTTTCACAAAGCCAGGGCTTCTGGCTCTGTGCCAAAACTGGAACCCTAACTCCCCACCCCTAGGACCTATGTCCATGTCCAGTGCTGCCCGTGGTTAGCCTGCTGTCAACTCCCACAGTTACCTCTCTAGATTGGCGTTGCCACTTTATTTCTGGTACCTGAGTGTTTATCTTCTTTCTTTTGAACTACCCCTGCCACCATATGTGTGTGTGTGTGTGCTGTCAACTCCCACAGTTACCTCTCTAGATTGGCGTTGCCACTTTATTTCTGGTACCTGAGTATTTATCTTCTTTCTTTTGAACTACCCCTGCCACCATATGTGTGTGTGTGTGTGTGTTTTAAGTTTGCAATAGTTTATACAATATTTTTATCTATTTTGAATCAAAGGTATTTGTATTAAGGTAAGTGGTTAAGGAAGAAATGTATCTGAATTTGGTTGTTTTGAACAAATTAATGAATAAACACTGGCAGTAATATTTTAAATATATTTCACACTGTATTGCTCTTAAGCACCAATTTACCTTTTTAAAAAACATTACACTACATTATCCAGGTAACTGAATCCTAATCATATCCATTATGAACTCTGAATTTTTCCTACCTAACAGTATAGCTACATTTATATCAGAATTACTGTGTACAATTTTGAGTAGATTCAGAGGTAGTATTTCATATCTGGTTCAATGGTAAGTAAACTAGCTTTGTTTTGAGATAATATTGCAATACTGCTGAAGGACTATTTTTGTTAATATATTCAAGACACTAATTCTCCCAAAGCAAACAAATATTAAGTGATTATTCCTAATTGTTGATTGCAACTTTCTGGCTGTCTTTTCTACCATAATTCCTCTTTTTTTGGTGGGGGCAGCTGGTCTGTACAGGGATCGAACCCTGGACCTTGATGTTGTCAGCACCACGCTCTAACCACCTGAGCTAACTGGCCGGCCTCCTCCTCATTCTTTTTCTGAACACAGACCTTGTTCTTCTCACAAGTTTTGTAGGTTTATTATTAGAAAACCTTTTGTTTTCCAAAATAAGGGTCAAAGCGCTATTATTTCTTTGTGAGACTTTGGCAGCAATACTATCCCAGAAACACCATGCTTAGTGGTAAACAGAAACTACAGCTTTCACTGTAAAATACCATAATTACACAGCACAGCAATACCTCTGTGGTTTTTTATCACTGAGGAAATCAATAGTAGTATAGACTACAATTCTCTGTTGGACTAGAGTAGATATAGGAGGGAAAATGAAAGAGTTTATTGACTTAGTAGAGATTGTTACTACAGCAAATCAGAGCTGTAGAAAGAAATAGCTTTTTAACTGAGTGATTTTAATCCAAACACCAAAATGCTTTGGTTTAAAAAGAAACTTGATGAAAAATAAATACACACACAAAAAACAAAAAAACCTGTCTTGTAGCCTCATTCCTCTTCCCTATTTACACACACACTTCAGGCCATTATTACTGGCAAATAACCAATCACAAGGAAAAAATTCTATTAATGCTGTTAAGAAATGATGTAGATGCTAAGAGGTTATTATGTCATGAAAGTTTTTGTCTGAATATTTCATATTTATGCTTGACAAATGTCATTATTTAGAATAGGTCATTTTGTATAACTAACAAAAGGTCCAATGTTTCATCTTGGGGCATTGTATTCCTGGTTAAACAGGTTGCTTTGAAGAATTTTAAATATGCATAATGGAAGTAGTAGGTATTAAATCACTCAAATTCAAAATATTATATTGAGAAAGAGAGAAAGCCAAAAGAGTGAGAGAATAACTCCAAATATTGCTACTTTTCAGTCACATGAGTCAGTATATGATGTACAACTGAAGGAAGAATACTAAATGATAAAAATGTTAAAAAGAATACCTTGTATATGGTATGCTGTTATTTTAATCCTCAACTTAAACTCATGCCCAGAGGAACAAACCCTGGATCGCAAGTGATGGTTAGTGAAATAGCTTTTCATTCTTGCATTTCTGGTACCAGCTTAGGGAGATGCACGGCAGCAATCCCCACATCACAACCAGAAGCTGTGCTTTACGCTCAGCAGAAGCCCATTCTCGAAGAATACGATGTGTCAGGAACATGAAAATAAGAGACTTATTGGATATTTATTCTGCATAAACAACATGATTATTTATTTGTATTTTAAGTAAGGTTCTTTTTAAAGGTCCTTGTGTGTATAGACTCTGAAAGGTAAAGAGAATTTCATGTGGTGAAAACAAAATACTTTATTCTTAAAAGACAAATACAAATACCTCTATATAAATACATTTGGTTGCTTGTATTCTGTTATAAGAAATGTTAACAAGTGGCCACCATTAGTTCAGATCCAAAGACAGCACATTGTTCGATCCATTCATCTGAACATGTGTGATTTCAGAACAACTCTTAGTACCCTAATGCACGGTCATGAAAAGAAATGGTAAATTATGAACACTTAAGGGCTCCTTAATAAAGGGGTGAGAGTTTGCAAGTATGGAAATCAAACTACCATCTCATTAAGAAAATTTCCAGAACAAAGAGACGAAAAATGGAGAATATTTAGCTTATAGCCCCCACTACATCTCTGAGCCAAATTTCTGCAGTCATTTTAAAAATTTATGTTTTATTAACATTATTTCCTTTAAATGAGCTAAATCATAATCATATGATAATTTCTAACACAAACGCAGCATTTTCAAGGGGTTGTGAAGATGTTTTACTAAATATTTGTTGTAAATTGGTAAATCTACCTGTAGAAATGTCTACCATCCATACATAGACTTTACGTTCCATGGACATTGGTTCAGCAGAAGCCATGGATTACTAATAAGTAGCTCACTTTTTGGAAGTCATGTTTTGACTCTATGAGGAGTTTACAGTGCCCTTTTGTATGCTCTGACAAAACTGAGTAATAATTCCCTGGTCTGGAAAGAATGACAGCCCCTCTGTGGAAATGACTAAATCACTGCTGGCTAGTGGGAAAGCAATACTGTGTGTCATTTGTTAACTGGACACAGTTACTCATTCTGATTCCTGGGAGATTAGCTTTTTCCAATTTAGAGACAGAGCTAGAATAATGTTATATTATCACATTTCATGTTGTTTGAAAATTCTTAATTTCTAATATTTCTTTCTAAGAAATCCAAATGGTTCAATCTCAGGCCCCTTCAGTGTCTGTAGTTTGCACAAACGGACTTACTCTGCATGCAGAGTCCATCTGTGCAGTTCTTGGATTGCAGGACGAGGCCGTCACAGTCCTTGCCTCCGTTCTTGGGGGCTGGCGCTGTGCACTCCCTCCTTCGCCAGTGGGTGCACTCGGTCCCGCAAGTAGACCACTTGCTCCATGAGGTCCACCTGCCATCCACTGTCATGAAAAAACCCAGCAGCAGGTGAGAGAGAGAAGCAGCTGCTTGAGGGTAAAGGGAGCAGAGCTCAAGCACGACATAACAAAGCAAAAACTGTAAGGAAACGCCCCACCAAGAAGCACTGCATTCATTTCAACCACTGGGAAGTGGAGCATGCTCGACACCATCTGGGCTCTGTGGACTTTTCCTACAGGGAGTGTGGCTGTTTCCTCACTGACCAAGCCAACGGAAGCTTAATAGGACACACAAAATCCAAAGTTGTCACGAGGAGCTATGTAAAAATAGGTCATCGTGGTGCCTCTTTTTCCATTAATGTGGAAGCTTCTCGATTTTGCATTAAAAATTAGGGGCCTCTCTTTGGATCTAAGATTCCTTCATTCATAGTGTCGTGTGGACAGTGAAAGTAAACTTGGGTGGGAGTGGGGAATAAATCCATCCATCCATCCATCTATCCATCCAATCCATATCTATCAGTCTCTCTATATTTTACATACTCTTTTTATTTTACTATTTTCATCCGGGCTGCTTGATTCTGCTGAAACCTTTAGCAATGTTTCTTGTGAAGGCTATATTATTTTCTATTTATTATTTAGTGATTCCATTCCATTATTTGATGATGTACCCATTTCTACATTTATTTTAAAAATAATATGTAGGTAAGTTCCTAATTTTTGCTGTGATTCAATCATTTAGAATTCACTCACTTTCTTTCTAATTTTGGTGGCTGGCTTATTAGCAATTTCAGTGATAAACAGCTGAGATAGCTCTATTTGAAAAATACAAAATCCCAGTTTAAAAAGTCTATAGTAAATTTCACTGTCAACTTTAAAATGCATTCCTTTAAGTTTCTCACAGAAATAGGATAAAAATGTTGAAATAGGAGTTTAAAATGTTGTATTTTCTCTGAAATACATAAATAATTATGATTATCTAGAATTCGATATAAAACAATGCCAAAAGTTATTTATTGAACATATAAACCTCTTATACCTGAATATTGAGAAAAATGATATCAATTTTAATAGTCAACATAGTTTGGGAAATTTATATGATTTTATATTTAAATTATTGTGTAAATATTTTATGTATAATGTGTATAGAGATACAAACATTCTCCCACATGAAAAAAGATGAAAGCAGTCATATTTCAATCATACAGAATTGACTAAATAAGCAACTCCCAACTATCTGGAGCAAAGACATTTGCTTTCACCTGGACCGTCTCAGTGTACTGATACCCAGACACACATGTACATTTCTATTTCAACTCACGTTGATCAGTGCATTTTTAATTGTAGGAGTAAGCACCTAGATAAAATATAGGAGAGTACAAAAAAAATCTGCAGTGCTAAGCTAAGTGTTAAAATTTGTTCTTTAATAAAAGCTCTCAAAGGTTCAGTGCAGGAGACCATTTTATATTTGGAAATCAACACTTGGGAATATAAAATACAGATTATATTTTTCTCTCCAGTTCATTTCTCCAACCCAACTCTGTGAAAGTTTCTATTAAAGGATGAACAGGATAAAATTAAGTAAAATAAAAAAAAGTGAAGAGGCCATGTATCTAAACAATGAAACTGATAGCACAATAGCTACTCCAATGAATGCACTAAATTTATGAATTATTTCAAAATAATTTTAGCTTAACTTTGGAATATATTATACTAGGCATTTTCACAGGTTTTGGTTTTGTTTTTGGCAAATTTTAACTTTAATTTTTCAAGGTATAAGAGCTGGTAGCAATATGAGATAGTGCAGAAAGATGCTAAGAAGTAGAGGGAAGCGATCTTGCTACAGGTACCACTCACTGCAAATAATGCACAAGACAGATGACCAACATGTACAGATAATAGAGAGCTGTCTGTATTATATTTTCAAAAGCCCTTATCCCATGTGTCACAGAGCTTTGCCTTCCTTTAATTCATTCCAAATGTTTTATTTGCCCTTGCCCAGAAACTGACACCAAATATCAAATATTTCAGTCTAAAACATTTTCTAAATTTCAGTTCCAATTAATTTCCATGGTTTTCTGAAGATCAAGAGTTGTTATTCCTAAAATGTGTGGCTTTCATTGCTGTTCAAATCCCTTGAATTATGGAACCTGCAATCTAGGCTCCAGCAGGTTTGTTGAATAATACAGAAGAACTGTGTTTATGAGTGTTTAGTCTCCTGTTTTAGACTATTCTGCATGTTTGGGTAACAAAGTTAAGTACTCTTTGGAGGAAAATACTTGATTTCCTAGCAATGTAAACATTGACTGTAGGATGAGTTCAAATAATGTGTATCACACATTCAGATCAAGAATAAAGCCTTTGTATCTAATCTCTAAAACATATATCTAGGATGGCAATGTTGGGAGACATTTGGAATGAAAGGACAGGTTTATTTACCTGGACATAATGTAGTACATGCTATTTTCTGCACACTCTGCCCTTCACAGAAGGCACCACCATTGAGTGGTGCTGGATTGGTGCAGGTCCTTGTACGTTTCTGGTATCCTCGTCCACAGCGGCTATTACACACAGACCACTCTGTCCAGGTGGACCAGCCACCATTTACTAAAGGGAGGTAAACAATAAAAAGAGGATTCAACGTGTATATGCACACAAACCACACATGACACATAAATAAAAAGTCATCTCCTGAGAGACCACAAAAAAATCGAAAATTTCCAAGCTAGAAGAGACTATTAGAAGGGACATTATTTAATCCAAAGTTTTATTGTATAGCTGAAGAATCTAAACATGGAGATAAAATTATTACCAAAATTTACTCACCTACTCAGAAAAATAAATAGGACTGTGTTCTCTTTTCCTTGGCCAGTATTCTTTAAAAAATTACATCCCCTTACCAATTCAAGCTCTGCAAATTACTTTTAACAGCTTATCTCAAATAATAAATGCTTACATCTTTATGCCAAGACTGCAAATGGATCTATAGCATGGTAACTGAATAAAGTCATTTAGCCTTTTTAAAAAAAAATAGATGATTGATTATTTTTCTCTAGCATATGCAAACTTTACAGCCTTTTAAGGTTTTTAGTCACTTTCATAAACTAATCAGTGAAGCTGGTTAAAAAATAAAATCTTATAGTGTTGGAGTTTTAAACAAATTGACTGGCTATTTGATTCAATTGGCAATTAGTTGATGTAATTGAAACGAACACCTGTTTTGTGTGTAAAGGCTAATTATGATGTTTGCTGGAGCTGTCAGTATATTTGTGATGGTAAAACTTACACCCTAACTCTATGCACACTATACATCTCTGGAGATCCCTCTTTAGAAAATATTCCAATATATATTTTTAGTACTTCAGTAATGTGAGTCTGTTCAATTATTGTAATTAAGCAATTTCTAACAAAAATTATTTGCTGGTAGTTAAAACATGATACAACTAGTACATACATCTGCTTCCTGATAGTAAAGGGTGTAAAGGCAAGTAACACAAAACTTATATGTACATATCATTTGCCCAACATCTTATATTCTAGAAACCTATCCAACAGAGAATAATCACAAATATGCTATATTTACAAAAACAAAGGTATTTTTTCACACAGAGTTTGTTAATATAAAGGTATAAATAATTGGAAACAACTGTATGTTCAAAAGTAGGAAAACGGTAAAATAAACTATTCATGAAGGGTCTTCAAAAAATTCATAGAAAGATTCATATTATCTTTCAATTCCATTTTTCCACGAACTATTTGAAGTACCCTCATATGTTCATGTGATTGACTGAGTCCTAGGCAACCATAAAAAATGATGCTGTAGAAGGCTATTTAATACTACATGAATATTTCAACATTGCGTTTTAAGTAAAAATAATATATGTGTATCCCTTATTTTTAAATCCTATGTATGCAGAGAAAATACCAGTAGTATTCATATCAATTGTGTTTTTTTTTAAAAATGCTATCTCTGGATACAGGTTGACAAGATTATAGGTATTTTCTTTTTTGAGCTTCTCTGAGTGTTCCAAATTCTCTCTAATGAATATATGAGTACATTTGCAATCTAATAATATTAATAAAAATGTATAAAACAGACTCAAAATATGAAATACTTTTTAGATGTATATGTTTTTCTGTGGACCTCTAGTGAGCCCAACCTGTAAACTCTGGACAACTTATTTTATGAGGCCATGGATAGGGCAAACAAATGATTGATAGGTAGGGTTTCAGTTAGACTTCCAAAGAGCAACTTAGCCTACTCAACTTTACAAAACTCCAAATGTCATGGAATTATCAGTATATATTGCTTATTAGCATACTGGCAAGCTGATTTTGGGTTTATAGGACACATGTACTGCTCTGCTAGAATTTTAATGAGAAATGAATAACAAGAAACTTTTAAAGACAGAAAGGTCTTCAAACATTAGGAATAATTAGGCTTATCCCTTCATTTTACCAAGAAGGAGACAAAGGCTCAGAAAATCCTGGTTAAAAGACCTGTCAGTTAGTGGCAGAAGTAGTTCTAGAACCCAAGATTCCTGACCTTTAGTTTGATGCTGTTTCCTTAACTCAAAATGCTTAAATTACTTGTGTTTGATCCCTCTTAAAGACAATGTACACACTGTATTTATGGATATTATAAGCATGCTATACATAGGAAGATATTTGCATGTCAATTAAACATCTATATAATGCATCTATATATAATCTGCCTTCATTAGTTATTTATGATTGGTGCATGCTGTGATTGTGTCCCATTTCTCCTTTGCATTTGAAATGCTGTTAATCAAGTCTCTCAGGCAGTTTAGAAAAAGATTAAAAGTAGGAAACATTTTATTACAATTTAAGAGAGGCAATTGAGTACAATTTACCATAGTCATTATCTGGACTAGGAAATTAAACATCAGAGTAATCAGAAGATTAAAAAAAATGTATACATCTGTTCTGTAATTAAATGACAGTTTTAAAGCATCACTATATTCAGTCTTTGGAATATCATAATGGCTTGTGTTTTCACAACTCCTTACGTCATTGGCACACATCCATCTAAATGGCACTGCATGGAAGGCAAAATGCTTACTTCTATCTTTTTAGTTTTTTTTTTTGTCTGGGCCTGAGAATTAAATTAACATAGGACAGATCAACGGGAAAAAAACATACACATTTATTTAATACAAATTTTATGTGGAATGGGAACTTTTATAACGAGATGAAGACCCAAAGATTAGTTAGAGTTGAACACTTATATACTGAACTGGACAAAGAGTAGTAAGTTGTGAAGAAATAACTAAATTATGTGATGAAGTTAAAGAAGACTAAGAGTTATTTTAATAAGACCTATGAAGAATTCTCTTTCCATCCTCGATAATACGAATGTTACTTTCCTTCTAGTATAGGAAAGACATCTTTCAGATGAGAATTCCATCTCCTGCTTTTAAGAAACAGAAGGAAAGTCAGAATGATTTTCCTGTACTTGCTGTTTTTCAAGTGCCTTTAACTCAAAAAATAGTCAATATACCACAGCAGCATACTTTGGGTGTCATATTCTTAACTTCTTTAGTAAGTACTTCTGCAGTAAGTACCATGAGCCAGATACTTGCCAGTGACCGTCCCTCCTTCACAGTCAATCAGACTCAGGCCCTTAGAGTATTGTTTAACACTGAAGCAGCAATGAAAAGCTTCGTTATGTTCTAAATGGCAGTGAGACATCATTCAGGAGCCAGCATAATCTCAAAATGCTTCCCAACGTATTGTTTAACACTGAAGCAGCAATGAAAAGCTTCGTTATGTTCTAAATGGCAGTGAGACATATCATTCAGGAGCCAGCATAATCTCAAAATGCTTCCCAACATTGTTTAGTTTCCTCCGAGACAATAAATCATCAACAATATAAGGACCTATCACGTGTCTCACATTGTGAAAAATATATAAATATTCAGACAAGTCTCTCAGTCTACAAAGAGTTTGAAGCTTAGCTGGGGAGATTGAACAACCTGTGAAATGACTAGAAAACAGTTAAACTGTACAGGGAGATAAAAGCATATATGCCGCATCAAAATTGGGTACAAGATAGTTTGGTACTTCAGGAGAAATGATAGGTTCAGAGATGAGATGAATTAGAAAGGACCAGAGAGGGAAGAGAAGCTTCCTGCAGAAGTTGTTACGTTGAACTTTGCCATGCTGTTAGGATTAGGGCCACTTGGCCGTGACAGCCCTTATCTTCAATCCGCTTGACTCTGAAAGAGTGACTAAAAATGTTTGAGCAAGTTAAAGATGCTCTGATGTGCTTGGGGAACAGGTCAGCTCCAGCTTTCCTGAGGTTTGCAACCATTGGACTGAGCCCAGGTGCAAAAACTATCAGCAGGCTGATTTCAGCATCTTTATCTCCAGAATTCAATCTAGATTTTGGTGGTACAGGTTACGAAGACAGAAGGGCCCAGGGAAGCAGCATGCACTCAGGTAGACCTTCACTTTCCTAGAAGCTGACTGACAGAGGGCCAGGGAAGCCTGGTCTTAGGAGTATCAGGGAAGCAGTTAATCCTCGCTGTCTACGTGAGAGGCTGGAATGAGCAGCAATACTGAAAATGGGACTCTAGCGTGATATTTTACAATTAAAATACCAATATGAAAGAGAAACTGCAATTTGACATAATCTAGATTGAGACCCTGAAAGATCACTCACCATAGACTATTACAGTTGCAGTTGTACTTTTCCTCTTGGCAACAATGTTTTTGGCGACACAGGTATAATTTGCAGTATCTGAAAGGCGGGCCTGCTTTATGATGAGGTTGTGATCGATAGTAATATAAAAATTCCGATCTTCAATAGGATCAATTATATCTTCATTTTTCAACCATTCCACCTAAAGATGCACAAGAAAAATAGATAAATCTCCAGTATGGGTCCCTGGATGGCTGACTGTCCTAACTTGTGTTTTGTAATATGTATAACATTGTTCCGTGCTATGAGCTTCTCCAAACTGGGGGGGAAGTAACTTCCCGAGGTCATGAGGTCATGTTAAGTACCATTCACCTGCCAAACATGCTGATTCTGTCTGCACTACATTATTTTAAAATGTCAATGAACCAACTGGGAAATACAGCGTCCAACTTGTTTTCACTTTGCCCTGCAGGCAGGAACTGGGGATGTGCACTGCCAAGTTCAGAACCCAATCAAAAATAATAGGCTAAGCATTTCAAACTGAACCTTTTGCTACTTGATTTGTTTACTCTTGGCAACTTACCTGCTGCTTTTCAGAAAATAATGTGAGGACTATAAAAACAAACAAACAAAACAAAACAAACAAACAAAAAAACAAGCTCAAAATGCATTTTAGACATTATGTAGCTCTAATAAAATAACATTTGGATGATTTACATGTATCCTCACTGAAACATATGGATTAAATTTCCCCCCAAATGCACTGACTTTAAAATGTAGCAAAATACATATTTAGAGATGCATCTAAGCCAAAATATTTAGAAAAAAAAAGAAGGTTTCTCTACCAACCCTCAGTACAATCCGAATAGCTTATAAATCACATTCAAATCTCTCCTTTTGTATATTTCTAGTGTTCAAATCTTTGGTTCATGGTTTACTTTTGGGGTCATAAGACATGACTGCTCAAAACTATTATGTTGTTTTCTCTATGCAAATAATATCAATTTAGCAACAGTGATGTTATACTTGTTGAATAAAATGAGGGAAATACTAATACCTGCATAAGCTATCTTTCTGGAGGATACACTATTTCTTATGCTGGCGATTGATTTTTTTTTCTCTTTGCACAGGTTTTTCCATAAAGTGAAATAACATTGATATTTACCACACTTAAACTTTCCTTTTGCATTAGGGAAGATGTAGATACAAGTAACCTTTAGAGGTAGGGAGTCAATATTGTTGCCATTTTCAAAATCTTAAGGAGCTTCTCCAGCACCACAAGAGGTCTAGAAATTAATCTCTAAATCTGTCAGTGGACTTGACATTGCACAGCTCTAAATTACATTTAACACAGGGACTCTCAAATATTACGTTCCTCTAATCCTTAGAAGAGAGGCCAACATTTAAAGAGAAAAACAAAAACCAACAACAATCCTGAAATAAAGCAACATGTAAGGATGTAGATTAGAGCAACTATTTGTAATGATGTAAATTTTGAAATAGCTAAACATTCTTGATATTTGCACTAATGGCTGTGAGAAAGAGAACAGAATCCATCTAAAACAGTGGGTTTTCCAAACATGCATTTTGTTTGTGAGTACAGACCGCACACTCAGTCAAAGATTGGATATATCTGATATGTACTCATTCTCATTTTGACCTGAATTTTCTAAGTTTGGCCCTCTATGTGGTAACATGATCTTGCTGGAAGTAGATGGGAGAAGGTAGAAAAACTTACACTGCTAGGAATGTCCAGGATATTATTTTTTGAATCTAGTTTTTACCTAGGTTATCTATGCCATTCTAAAGAAAGCTTTCTACTCATAGAAAGCACTGTTGGGCTCCCCTCAGTTGGTCTTTAATCCCTTTTACTTCTTTTGTGCTCAGCGTGCTTTTCTTTCAAGGACCATACCAGCTACTCTTATTCGAAGGACAGCCCTCCGACTCATGGATTCTCCCTGCCTGGAAGTGCACAAGAGTTCACAGCTTCCTCTATAACTTCCCTATTAGCCGCTGACTAATGGGTGGGGAAATATGCCTTCTGTCCACTCAGGTCAGAATCTGAGCTGCAGCTCTCCAGAGTTCCCTTTTGCAGATCAGGCTGAAGCTATATCCTGGAGACTTGGCCTGAATTTACACTATTACTTGGCTTCTCCTTTTCTCTCCTGTTTGCTCTGCCCACTTTACAGGGCTCTCCTGGGAGAGCACTTCCTTAAAAAACTTCTTGTATCCAAACCTTTGGCTCAAAGTTTGCTTCTGGAGAACCCAACCTAAGTCATGGTTTCAAAATCATGGTTTCTTCTATGTAAACTATATCAATTTAAAAAAACAGTGATGTTATCCTAATTATAAATGACATATAGAGATTCCAAGGGATATTACAAACCACTTGTTTATTTGAAGAGTTTATTACATGGACTAAAGAGTTCAATCTACACAGTTGACAAAAGATTTAAAGAGACAATATATATATATATATTTTTTTCCTTTTTTTGTCTTTTTTCATGTCCGGCAACGGATCGCAACCCTCAGTGTCGCGCCCGCACTGGACCGGGACCGGCAACGGGATTGCAACCCTCGGTGTTGTGCCCGCACCTCGCTCAGCCAGTGAGTGGGAACTGGTCTGTATGTGGGATCCGAACCCTCGGCAGGAGCGCCACCACGCTCCCAAGCGGTGCACTGTAGCAGTGCGCCACCGGGCTGGCCTTAAAGAGACAATATATGATTGTTGGGTATGAAACTGCCTAAAATTATCTAAAACTGTTTTTTCCCCCCATCTCAAGTTGTTTTACCTAAAACTGTTTTTTCCCCCCATCTCAAGTTGTTTTACAAGTTATTTTGCAAGGTGTAAGCTGAGCATGCACAGAGAGAAGGACCTTGCCTTCCCAGTGACTTTGGGAACAACAGGAACCTGAAAAGCCTCCCCCAAAGGACTAGATTTCAAGTTATTTTGCAAGGTGTAAGCTGAGCATGCACAGAGAGAAGGACCTTGCCTTCCCAGTGGCTTTGGGAACAACAGGAACCTGAAAAGCCTCCCCCAAAGGACTAGATTCAGGCCTAACCAATTAGCCCTTGCCTGCATCATATGGCCTGACTGAGTCCTAACCTATGATCACTCTTTGCCTAGTCACATGGCCTGATTCAGAGCCAGCCAATCAGTTTTGTCTCATTATCATATGTGGCCTGACTTGGAACTATCCAATCCACTTTCAACACACCATATAGCCTGACTCAGAGTTAGCCAATCAGAGTTGCCAAATACCCCTTAAAGCCTGCACAGCCCCTGAATCAGAGAAGCAATTTGAGGTGCCCTGCCTCCTGTCTCCACACTGGTCAACCTCATGAATAAGGCCTTTTCTTTTCCCAGAAACTGGTGCCATGGTATTGGCTTCTCTGCATATGGGGCAGCAAGCAGGGCTTGGTAACCGGTATGTGAACTTTACTTTTAACTCCACACTTTCCTTGGGTGTCTCTCAGCAACTTGGGAGCAGTGATTATGACCTGAGCTTTGGGGATCCCTGAGAAGTCCCAGCAGTGCTGGGGAGGCCTCCAGGGCCCTGTGGGTGGGCACTTCCCTCCTCTCCTACTTACTGCTTTAGTCACAGAAGTTCTGCGTTCATGTATTCCACAGTAGTTTGGCTCATATGTCTGTTTTGAAGAACTACAGCTAGAAAACAGCTGAAGAAATGAAGAGGGGAGCCAAGTACTCCTCCAGCTTCTAGCAAGACTCCCTACAGTTCTCTAGGCCCCAGGACTGCCAGCCATGCCACCCTCTGCTTTGAGACCATCGTCTGCATGACAGGCTCAGGTCAGGACTGCAGGTCATCTCTCATCTCCTGCACTATCATCCCAGGCTGTGCTGTACACCCGCATCTCCAGAAGTCCTGGAGTACAGCAGCAAAATCCTCCAAAATTTCAACATTCTTAGATCGTTTTCTTCATTTTTTTCTCTACCTTTTTTGATGCTATTGTTTCCTCTGGAGTCCTCTCAAGTGGTAGATGTCTGATTTCCCAAATCCGACATACTACTGTGACTGTGGATTGAGAAAGCGTCCTCCTTGCTCCATATTATCTATTTCAGACTATTCCCTCTAAACACCTTTGCTTTGAATCTCATGCCAAGAGATAATATCACCCAATGTCTACAATTTTTGTAGTAATTTACATACCTCTTATAGTTACTTTACCCAGCATAATTTCTGTCATAATTTCTAATGATTTTAATAACCACAAAATGACACTTCCAACATCTTAGTCCCTCAATTCAATGACCCTCCCTCCTGCAATGGTTCTAGGCCAGAGGTTTTGAACCCCAGCTTTACAGTAGAATAACTTGGAGAACATTTATGATATATCAAGTGTAAATTCAACCCAGAGAAACTAAATCTAACCCACAGAAATTCTGGTTCACTGCTCTAGAGTGCTCTAGCATCAGTATTTTTTAAATGCCCCAAAGGGTAATATTTTACTGCTAGGGCTGAAAAATACCTCTCTAGATCACTGCCTTTCAAAATGAGATCCCTGGACCAACAGCAACCTGGGAGCTTGATGGAAATGCAGAATCTCAGGCTCTGCCCACGTAGGCTTAATGAATCAAAATGGGCACCGTAACAAGAACTTCAGGGGATTTATATGCACGTGAAAGTTTGAAAAGCTCTGGTTTAGCTCTTACCTTCCCATTAACTGTGACCCTTCCATAAACTCAGTGTCAGTCATCCTCACCATTTCCCATTTTCTGTCTTTCCTACTCACTACCATCTAGTGGACTCACCAACTTCACTTCTCATCCTCTCATGTCACTTCTCCTTTCTTTACCAAGCTTAAATTCCAATGTCTAACTTCATAAGTAATCCTTGCATTATACCGTCACTCCCTCATCCCTCTCTTCCTTCCAGGCACTCACATGGCCCCTATTCCCCTACGCCACCTCTGTGTCCTCTGTGCACAGCTACGCTGAGTGGGCTCATCTTAAATTCAGGATAAGAGAACTCAAGTGGGCCCTTCATTCTGCTGAGAAGGCATACTGTATTTCCTTTGTTTGTTCTCTCTCCCACTCTCCTAGACAACTATTTCATACATTCTCCTCTCTCCTTAAACACTACCTCCCCCTCTATCCTCACTTCTAGCTGCTGACCAAAATTTCTATGTCGCTGAGAAAACAGACGATCATGAGAGATCTTCCAAAGCTCCCGCTATCCACCTACCCTCCCCCTTCTGCACCCTCTCTTTCCACCAGGGGAGCTCTCTGCTCCTGTCTCTCACCTCTGACTTGTACTCTGCGTCCCATTCCCACTCTCCTGTTCAAGAGCAAGGCCCAGCTGTTCTCCTCTCTCTTCCAAATCATTCAATTTTCTCTCCATATGGAATCATTTCCATCAGCACAGAGATGTTCTGTTATTTTTCACAACATAAAACACAAACCCTCCCCACCCACTTCTGCCTCTCGTCACCTCCACATTTCTCTGCCTGCCTTACAAAACTCCTTGGAACAGTTGTTGATCCTCACTGTCTTCAGTTCCAACCTCTTCATCTCCACTGAGCCCGTCTAATCTGCATTCACTCCCACCACTTCAGCACGACTGCTCTTTTCGGTCACCAGTGACTCTCTAGTT